GGCCGCTTGTTTACCTTCAAGCTTTTAAGACCCCAGACGCTATATCTTTTGATAGCCGGGCACCATCAGCTTTCTTCACCACATTTGCTTGTTCAGAGAAAACCTTTTCTACAATAAATTCTGAAAGACAACCAAAGGCAGGTAGCAGGCCAATATTTACATAACTTTTAAAAGATACTGCACAAAGTATTGTTGTATATAAGAACATAAAGGATAAATATGAAACCAAGAACTTAAAAAAAATCTATTCGCCTAATAAAATAATGTTCTTGTGTGCCAGTGAGTTGATCCTGCTCTGAGTGACCCATTAGGAGAGAGTAGAACTGCCCTGTGAAGTGTCCAAGGCGGCAGTCTTTATGAAGACGGGCTCAGTTTTCTGCCATGGAGTGGCAGCTGTGTTCAAACTGCCGACCTTCCATTTAGCAGCCAAGCAGTTAACCACTGAGCCACCAGTGCTCCTTAAATTTTTGTATCTGCTAATGGTATTACAGAGGAGCCCTGGTGGCCTAGGGGTTAGTTACAATGCTTGGACTGCTAAGTGCAAAGTCAGCAGTGGAAAACCATCAGCTGCTCTTCAGGAGAAAAATGGGTTTTCTATTCACACGGACAGTTCTTCCCTGCCCCAGAGGGTTGCTGTACGTTAGCATCGACTCAGTGGCAGTGCGTTTGTGGTTTTTTTTCGGTAATGGTATTGTTATATAGGTATTATCTTTCTTCAGAAATACAAAGAAGTTTCAAAAAAACTCATGGAAATGTGAAATTAAGAAATAATAGAAATTTTCCGTGAACTTTTTGAAATTCCCTTGTACATACTGAATATTTTGGTGTTAAGTTTCTGTACTTTATTTACAAATAGTTCTGCCCAAACAAAATTATTCTGGAGAGAAAGGTAAAGCAAATATGGTAAAATGCTAGCAATTTACAGATATAGGTAAAGAGTAGATAGGTGACATTTTTATTTTCTTTTAATTTCTTTTAGCTTTTCAGTAGGTTTTAAGTTTCAAAATAAATCAAATAAAGGGTTAGTAAAGAAAAAGAAGCCATGATAGTGTAGTGATTATGGGTTGGCCTTCTAACAGCTGGGTCAGTGGTTCGAAACCACCAGCCACTCCATTGAAGAAAGATGAGGCTTTCTACGCCTGTGAAAAGTTAGTCTCGGAAATTCACAGGGCCAGTTCTACCCTGTCCTATAGAGTTGCTATGAGTTGGAATTTCTCAATGGCAACGAGGGTTTTTTGGAAAGAAAAAAATAACAAAAATCAGAATCACGAAAATATAAACATAGTCATCTTGAAAATCGGCTTGTGGTCAGGGTTGAGTACTGCAACATACTTAATTTTGATGCAAATTTATGTGATCCTTGTAAATTGAGGCTAGTAGGGAAATATTGTTGGAGACCTCTGTACTAAACCTTTTTTTTTTTTTTCAGTATAGACTATGGTCGAAGGAAAAGAAATGCTTTTCGGATTCAGGTAGAAAAATGTGAGTTTCTTCCTGTTAGAGTTAAATTATCATTGATGCTACAGAAATCATTGAGCTCATGGCAGTTTTTTTTTCATTTCAGTGTTTAATTTAATTAGTAATGAGAAAGGACTTAAGGATGTAACAGAGCTAGAAGATGAACATCTAGCAAAAAGATCAAGACAAGGTGAAGAGGATAATGGGTAAGTATGATCATAGGGAATGTTCATTCTAAACCACAAAGCTGATCACATCCTGTTCCTTCTTGCGAAATGTTCAATGCTCTTCCTTGTTTATCCAGTGCTGCATAACCCTTTCCTCAGCGCGCCAAGCCTTTGCGTCAGCCATGTTCCCAAGAAGGCCAATTCTCTCCGTCACTGTGCGCTCGCGCAGGTGCTTTTCTGTCCTCGGAATGTTCTTGTCCTCTTCCCAAATTCTTAACTCAGCCTGCAAGAGTCAGTTGAATTTTTATTGGCTTTCTTAGGTCTTTCTAGATTTGTTCCTTAGTGTTTCGTTAGCTCCTGCTTCATGGCTGTTGTTCATCATCCTTACATGCGGCGAGTGAAGGGTTCTTGCATACTTGCTTGCATACCTCTCATTATCTTTGTTTTCTGTGCCCTCTTAGAAGGCCAAGCACAGAGAAGGTGCTAGTTAATGTGACCGAGTTTGTTTTAAAAATATGTTGAGATACAATGAACTATACATTTCTAAGGTATGAATTTGATGAGTTTCTATCAAGGGCTCATGCGGGAGGGGGGAGCAGGGAGGGAGAAGAAAAATGAGGACCTAATGTTGGGGGTTTAAATGGAGAGAAAATGTTTTGAGAAACGATGTACAAATGCGCTTTACACAATTGATGTGTGTGTGGATTGGGATAACAGTTGTATGAGCCCCTAATAAAATGTTAAAAAAGAAAAAAAAAATTGATGAGTTTGACAGACAAGGAGTGTTCAGAGAGTTTGTAGAAATGGAATTAAAGGCTAATGGGGTTTTTCCAGAGGCTCTTTGAAGCCCTTTCAAAGGCATGTGGACACTGATACTCTCACCGTCTGAACAGTTCAGGGGACAGGCCAGCTGAGGGTCCGAGTCCTGCAGAAGGCATCGGCTGTCTTGTGGCACAGTGCACGTTATGGACCAGGTGCTGGCTGCTATGTTCGCCTCTAATATTTGAAATGGAGAGACTGACCACTTTAAATGCTTGGCTGGATTAAACACCAAGCCGTTTGAACAAATTTTAATAGGTTAAGATGGTGTTTCAACAAATTTTAGTAAACATACAGTCGATATGTCTTGGGAAGCCATCTGGTTATCTCGAAGAATTGTGAGGAAAATTGGTTCCGGTTTATGTCTGATTTAGTGTCCAGGAGTTCAACATCATAGAATCCCAACCATCGAGCAGAGGACGCAGTGGCGCCGTCTGCTGATGTTGGATGGATAGCCAAAGAAGGAGAGTAGAGCGTTCAACAAGGCTAAGGACGGAAGTCGGTGCAAGCTGTCCCTTTCAGGATGACCGTCTTTCTTCAGAGAAACCGCCAAGCAGGCTACCTCGAGAAGAATCCCCACTAAAGACAGTGGTGCTAGGGAATGTGGAAACAGCGCAGAAGTTCTACGCTCCTGAATGTGAGCTTGCTGCTCTCCAGGCCCAGGTCGTCAGAATCGTGACCTTG